AAAGTCAGACAGTTACACTTTTAAGATTACAGTTTAATGTTTTTCTACAGCTTAGCAGGATAGCAGATGAGTTACTGAAACCAGACCACATGGTAGGGAATGCTTACTGGGTGATCCCAATCACACCACAGGCCAGGTGGCTTCCAGCATTTCCTGTCTTTGTACTTTCAAACTATCCCACTGTCTGGTGCCAATCTCTGTCCTAGTTTGTTTCTTCATTGCTGTGACAATGGAAACACTCTCATTTACAATAGCCTCAAAAAAGTAAAATATCAGGAATAAACCTAACCAAAGAGAGTAAAGACCTTTACAATAAAAACTTGAAATCTTTGAACAAAGAGATTGAAGAAGATAGAAGATGGAAAGACCTCCCATGCTTATAGGTTGGTAGAATTAATATTGTGAAAATGACCATCCTACCAAAAGCAATTTATAGATTCAGTGCAAGCCTAATCAAAATCTCCATGACATTCTTCTCATAAGTAGAAAAAAAAATCTTAAAATTCATATGGAATTACAAAAACCTCAGATAGACAAAGCAATTCTAGGCACAAAGAGAAATGCTGAGGGAATTATATACTAGATTTCAAATTATATTACAGAGCTATAGTCATAGAAACAAAATGGTCATGGCACAAAAATAAACATGGAGTTCAATGGAACAAAATAGAAGATCCAAACATGAGTGCACACTCTTTCAAGCACCTGATATTTGGCAAAGACTCCAAAAATACACATTAGAGGAAAGACAGCATCTTCAAAAAATGGTGTTGGGAAAACTGGATTTCTATGTGTAGGAGAGTAAAATTAGACCCATATCTGTCACTCTGCAGAAAAATCAACCCTAAATCAGTCAAAGACCACAATGTGAAACCTGAAACTCTGAAACTGTTGGAAGGAAACATAGGGGGTACCTAGAAGATAAAGGTGTAGGAAAGGACTTTCTAAATCAGGCTTAGTTTCTCAGGAATTATAGTCAACAATTGACAGATGGAACCTCATTAAACTAAATAGCTTCTGCACAGCAAAGGAAACAACTAGTGGAAGGAAGAGGAAGCGCACAGAGTGGGAGAAAATCTAATCTTCACCAGCTATACATATGAGAGGGGATTAACATCCATAGTTTTCTAAATAGTTATTGCATTAAACTGACTCTTAATGAGTTATACCCATAGATTAATGCATCTCACAATTCTCAACAAAGAAATTTGCTTATGCAACAACTGGTAATTAACACAGAAACTCATAATGGGCCAACATGCAGAGAAAAAGAGGCTGCAGAATGCTTATCCCTGAACAGGACACCTATATCATACCTCTGCTTCCAAGGCTCAGCAAGCATTGTGGAAGAGGGGGCAGAAATATTGTAAAGGCCAGCGGTCGTGGATGACCATAAGGAAGCAGAGTTTTCCAGACAACTGGTCAGTTACTTGTACGAACTCAAAGCAAAGGTGACAGCATGCACAAGTCCACGCAAGCTCAAACCAGAAAAATCCCAGCATAGACATGAAGAAGTGGGTAAGAAACTCTAACTCTACATAAGGAAATTATGGCAACAGATGGCTGCTGGGAGGATCAGAGACAGTCTCTTTTAAGCAAAGGAGTCTTGGTACGTTAACCAGGCTCCAATGTATGGACCTACACTGAAGGGCATTTGGAGACACAAATAGACGCTATATATCTTATTATTTCTATAATAGAGTATATTAAATTGGCCAGGGAAAAATAAAAGGAGATGAGAGTAGGGAAGGGCATCTAAATACCATCAAATTACATTGTATAAAAGTCAGGAAAATTCAAAAAAAATTTTTTTTTAATCCAACAGACTCAAGAAAACAAATGACCCAATTAAAAAATGGGCTATGTGTCTGAACAGAGAGCTCTCAAAATAATAAGAAATAAAAATGGCTAAGAAATACCTTAAAATGTTGAACTAAATGCTGGTAAGGATGCAAAGAATAAGGAGGTATCATTTATTGCTTGTAGAATTGCAAACTGGTGCAAGTACTGTGAAAATCAGTGTGGAGAACTAAGACAAAAATAAATCTACCATATGATGATGTTATACTCCTCCTTGGCACATATAAAGCACTCAGTGTCCTACTAAAATATACTTCTTAGCCATGTTTCTTGCTGCTTTTTTTTTTCCTTTTTGGTCTTTTTGAGACAGGGTCTCCCTGTAGCCCGTGTCTGTTATGTGCTTTTTTTTTTCCTTTTTGGTCTTTTTGAGACAGGGTCTCCCTGTAGCCTCAGATGGCCTAGAACTTGATATGTAGACCAGGCTGGCCTTGAACTCAACAGAGATTCGCCTGCCTCTGCCTCCCAAGTGCTGGGACTAAAGGTGTGTGCCACCACGCCTGGCTCTTGCTTTTTTTTTTTTTTTAACAATAGCTAAGAAATAGAAAGAACCTAATGTCCCTCAACCAACAAATTGATAATGGAAATGTGGTATGTGTACACAATGGAGTCTACTCGAGGGTCAAGAAAAATTAAGTTATGACATTCTCAGGTAAATAGATGGAACTAGAAAACTTTTTACTAAATGAGGTAACACAGACTAAGAAAAGCAAGCAATGTATGTTTTCTCTCATTTGTGGATCTTAGCTCCAAATCCTTAGATGTGACTATATATCCTGATATAACTGCAGAAGCCAGGAATATGGGAAGGAGCCATGGGTGTAAAAGGAATGAAGGAGCTTGAGAGAGGGGAATTGTATGAGACAGTGTTGTCAAGGGGGAAATGGTGGGCAAACAGGGATACTTTACCATTGAGGGACTAGGGAAGGTCATACAGAGGGAAAAAGAGGAAAGATAAAAAACAAAACAAAACAAAACAACCCAAATAAACCCAGTTAGGTGGTTTGAAAAGCCAGAGAGAAATGTAGTAATTCAAAATCCTACAGTGTGTGTGTGTGTGTGTGTGTGTGTGTGTGTGTGTGTACATATACACACACTCTCACTACTCATCAAATAAACTTTTTGTAACAGATGGAGACTATTAAAAATTTCCACAATTAGTTACCCAGCCTGAGTATATATAATACACACACACACACACACACACGTATTTTGTGTATAGTATAGAAGATACTATCAAACTACCAAGGGAGAAAACTAATCAGTGATTCTATTCAAATGTAGCAATGGCAAACCCAGTAAATAATTTCAACTGGCGTAGTAGTGGCACTTTTATCTTAAGGGAATCAACAACTGCTTAATTGAACTTAAGGCCTTCCCAATGGGAGTGAACTTGTGTGGTGCTGTAAACATAGTCAAATACAGGTGGCTGGAGAGGTAATATATCTTAAAGAGAAATCTACTTTTGTCACACCCCTAGACCCTATGTAATTTCTTCCTGTATTCTGAATAGGTACCCTTATATTTACAGACAAGCGTACCTCTCACTACTCATCAAATAAACTTCTTTTTGTAGTAGATGGAGACTATTACCAATTTTCACAATTTGTCAAATGCAGATAATAAGCGTCTGTTAGGTACCCAGTCCTAGCTGATACTTCTACAATGCAACATTTACACCTAAGGCTCAGGGAACCTTGGAGAACAGGGGTAAAAATGAATATTAATGCATCTCTCAACTCTGATCAGCAAAGCTTCCTTATACAACAAATGGTGACTAACCCAGAAAGCCACAACTACCCCAAGTGCAGACAATAAGAGACTACAGAGAACTTTTCCCTGAATAGAGCACCTGTATCAAATCTCTGCCACCCAAGGCTCAGGGATCATTGCAGAAGAGGAGATGGAAAGTTTGCAAGAGCCACAGGTGTTGAATGACCACAGGAAACAGAGTTTTCCAGACAACAGGAAAGTTACTAGTATGAACTTAAAGCAGTGGTAACAGCATGCACAAGACTCATGTAAGCTCAAGCCAGACAGAATCCCAGCATAGAAGTGGGGAAGTAGGTAAGAAGCCCTAACTTCAGCTGAGAAAGTACTGGCAACCGATAACTACTGGGAGAGGGAGAGTTGTTTGTCTTTAAGTGTGTGACAGCAGATAGATTAACCAGGCTACAATGGATGGATGCACACTGAAGGTCATTTAGGAACACAACTTTGCTGGACAGGACAACTTTGCTTCTTCATGACAGAATACATGAAAACTTGTAGGGCTGCATGAGAGGGGTGCATATAGGGGAGGGTGGATCTAAATATGATCAAAATACATTGTATGAACCTCACAAAAATTCAATAAGAATTTTTATGTATGAGCTGGCGAGATGGCTCAGCAGTTAAGAACACTGGCTGTTCTTGCAGAAGACCCGGGTTCGAATCCCAGTACCCACATGGCAACTAACAACTAACCAGAACTCCAGTTCCAGTGGATCTGACAGTCTCTTCTGTCCTACGCAGGCATTGCATGACATAGATGTACTTACCTACATGCAGGCAATACACACATACACATAAAATAAAAATGAATTTTTTTTAAAAAGAATTTTTACGTATCAAAATAAGCCATTGCAGGTGAAATAAAAGAGAATGTGTATGACAACATGGTAGCTACGTAATGAGCTATTCCTATATACTTGGAGGTAATGAACATATTGGTTATATGGTAGTTCTAGTATTAAAGTTTGGGGTTGTAGATTTTTTAAAAGTATCATATTACTTTTATAGTTTAAAAAGTTTTAAAAACTTTAAGTGAAAAGGACAAATCTAAAGTATAATGAAGAAGCATAAAGAGATTGTAATAGGCCTAAGGAGAGGAACCTGTCTTTCTTACCGTTTCCTATATCCTGGAATATTGCTGGATTCACTCAACATTCAATAGATCAATGAATGGCTGAACATGTGTTGTTATTTATTTTATGGTAAAAAGTGATTTTTAAAAGATTCGTTTAGAGATTTAGTTTTTACTAATATTGATTATGATATATTTGTTTTAATTTAATTGGTAATATGTTTTCTTCAGGGTGCTTACTGCTACAAAATGTTGTAAAGTCATTTAGAGGATTACCTAACAATGACCTGTTTTCTAGAACCACATGGTCAAAGAACTGGAGGCCCGTGTCCAGCAGCTGACTGGAGAAGCAGAGAACAGTAATCTACAGAAGCAAAAATTAATTCAAGAAAAATTGGAACTTGAAAGGAGTTACCACATAGCATGCAGTGAATTACAAGAAGTAAAAACAAGGTATTATGTGAATCTAATGAGTATTCCTATAAAATACTAATATTAGCTTTATAAATAGCCTGCAAAAATTATTATACTTGTGCAATTAATGTTATGAAGTTTCTAATAGAATTATTTGCTTATTTTTGAAGTCTTTGTTTAAAACATGTTTGTAATTAGTTGATGAACACATGGATACTTATTTGATATATTAAAAGATAATATATTTGAATTTAATTGATTTAAAGACTCATTTTAGAAATTGGTTCTAAAAATAGATTTTTTTTTATCTTACTGTTTTAGGCGCAACATACTACATAAAGAGAAAGAACATCTTGTAAACGATTATGAACAGAATATCAAACTATTACAAACCAAGTACGATTCTGATATCAACCTCCTGAAACAAGAACATGCGCTTTCAGTCTCTAAGGTATTGCATATGCTGGTCACACATGGCACAAGTGCTCATCCTGCAGCCAGAGGCAGCATGTAGAAACTAAGGATTTCCATTTGAAATTATTCTCTTCTTCATTTTGTTCTTGAAATGACTGAGACTTCAAAAATATTTGCTGGTAGGACTCTGTTTCCATATGGTTATGCACCTCCTCCCTGGCTCTTAAAATCTTTCTGCCCCCTCTTCCACAATGGTCCTTGAGCCTTGGGTGGGTAAAGTTTAATAAAGAAGTCCTATCCAAGGACCCCTGCTCATATGATTCTATGGCAGTGGTGTCAGCATACAACAGTCCCATGCAAATTCAGGCAGATAATAACCTAGCATAGAACTGGGAAAATGAACAGCAGACCTCAATCTTACCTGAAGGAATGTTGGCAACTGCTGCTAGATGAAGAAGAGCTGATCTTCCTAAAGCAAGGAACTCTAGATATGCTGACTAGACTCAGTGGATGGACTTGCCCTGGGGAATGGCTGGGGGCACTGACAGCATAGTGGACCTTAAAAGGGATGGCAGAGTATATGGGCTCCAGTGGGGGTGGGTGGCTATGGGAGGGTGCCAGTGGGGACAGGGTATAAAGATGAGTAAGATTGTTTGAGATGTTCTGTATGAAATTTTTAAAAATTCAATAAAAATTAAAATTTATATATTTGCTGATATTTGAAATATTGAAATGTTAAATATTTAATAGGCCACACAAGTACTTCTGCTATAAATTAACCTTTTTAAATATGAAAATTTTAAGGAAGGAAAAAAATTCTGAGAAGAAATATTAGTACATTTGAAGAGTGATACAGGCATTATTATTATTTTGGAATATTGGTTCTAATTTAGTTTTCTTTTTAAATTTTTACATTTTTCTGTGAATTTTTAAATCAGTGTTACATTTTCATAATATGAAGCACTATGTAGATTTTGATTTACATTTTTACATCAAAAGATCTGTATTTAGCTGCAAGTGATACTCTGTTGCCCAGCTCACTGTTCCTATTGAGGTATAATTAATAAACTTTTATTTCTTCAAAAAGATTAAATTTTATATTGTCTTTCTAAAGTATTTTTTCATTCATATTTATAGATGATTTTAATTCTGACTGAATTTTTAAGGGTAAAAATCATATATTTTTTTCAACCAAAAGTGTGAAAGTATTAGAAAAAAAATCAGTGTTCTGGTTTTTGTTCTCCCACCCCCACCTCCACCCCCCAGACATCTGGTGTGATTGAAGAGTTAGAGCAGAATGTCTGTCAACTGAAACAGCAGCTACAGGAGTCAGAACGCCAAAGGGAACAGCAAATCAAAGTGAGTCTTGTACCAGAATAGGGGCCCCGATGCACCTTTACTTTTTTGATCTGTGTTTATAATTGAGTCAATTAAAGAATACTTAGAAAAAGCCTTTGAGTAGGTAGGCATTTCTGATTGTATGATTGATTTTTTTATCTAAGAAATGAAGATGCTTCTATAGAGAGAATAAAAGTTCATTAATTTGTATGATATCTTTTTGAGATTAGTTTAAAAACAAAATCTGCAGTGAATTAAAAATTAAATCTTGAAAATTTCAGGAAAATGAATGAATTTGGAAAGTATATTAAGTAAGGTGACCCAAACTCAGAAAGACTGAACTTTCATGTTCTCTCTCATATGTGGTTCCTAGCCTATAGTGTATACATTTATATATAAACATATATACGTGGGTATAAATGTGGGAAAACCTAAAATCTAGAAAAGAGACCAAGAGAAGGTAAAGTGGGTGATAGGGAAGGGTGTGGATTGGGAAAAGAACATATGGAACACGACAGAGGAAAACAAGGGGGGTCAGCAAGAGGGGTATTAGCAGTGGGAGGTGGGGAGGATGAGGGGGAAAGAACTTAATAAAATACTTTGTTCCAAAATGCCACAGTGATATCTACTACCTTGTATGCCAGTTTAAAAATAAAATTATTAAAATGTATTAAATATTGTAAGTCCTACCTGATGTCCATTATTTATATACTGTCAATGTTATGCATCTGCACACTGTTGTTGATAGGATATATATTAAATTATATAGAGAAAGGGGGACCTCTTTGCTGCTCTTCTGTTTACATGTATTATATTATTGGTTAGTGTGGTATGCGATCAGATTTCTGGTTTGATACAGAAAAAAAAATTGGCGCTCAGAGACGACTCAGCAGTTAAGCTCACTAACCGCTCTTGCAGAGGACCAGGGTTCAATTTTCAGCACCCACATGGCCACTAACAACCATCTGTAACACTAGTTCCAAGGGATCCAATGCCCTCTTCTGACCTCCACAGGCATGTGCATCATGGGTGCACTTACACACATGCAGACAATGCACTAATATACGTAAAATAAAAAGAAAAATCTTTTTATTGTTTTAGAGAAATTCCCCCATTTAAATTCCCTCCTGGCTCCACTGGTATTCCTCCTTCCTCTTCTCTCTTCTCATGGCTTTCAGATCTTTCCTTTTTTCTCATAGTCAAAAAGCATCAAGGATGAGTACATGAAGTAGCCTCATATTTATCATTTCCATATTGAATTAGTTGGCCTTTATTGATTGTGTAATCTTAAGGGTCACAAAGATGCTACTACATTGTGAAGTAGGTGCTTTTGAGAACAGTAGCATTTTCAGACAACTGAGGTTGTTTGTCTCAGAATAAAAAGCCACTCACGTTCCTTTTTGTGGCCTAGAAAATTAGGGCTCTCTTAATAGCATGCCAGTAATATGCAAAACTCTGGAGTAAAGTTTGACACCAAGGTAGATACATTTCTTTTATTGGATTACTAATTCTATTGTCTCTAGTAGCAATTTTAAATATAAAAACATTTATTATTCACAGGATCAAGAAAACAAGTTTCACATGGAAAAAAACCATTTAAAACACACCTATGAGAAAAAGGTATGTTTGGTAGGAAACTATAAACATTTAAAATAACAATTGAAGCAGTTAATGGGAGCTTAATTTTAAAAAGCCATATAAAGAATTATTTGTTTCTAATTTCAGCTTTCCAACATAATGAGCTTTCTCAATTTTCATGTTTATGAACAGCTTTAGTTCAGTTGTTAATCATATTGACGTTATAACACTTTTTTATGCTCTTTTTGACGAATGAAGGGCATCATTGACAGAATGACTTTGAAAAACACATTGAAATTATATTTTCTTTCTACCAGTTTAAAAATAATGAGATTTACATTACATTCTGTTGTATGATATGTGTAACCAAAAACCACAAAACATTAAAAGAACTGACTGCTACTTAAAACTTGATTAACAGTTTCTCGTCATTCAGAATAGTACTTATCTCCACTGATATATGTTAGTATTTTTGTCCTCAGTAATAACCAAGGGGTTATTGATATATTAGGCAACAAAGTACAGATTTGTGACCAACACTTCAGTTCTGAAATTGTTTGATATTAGACATGGACAGTAAAAAAGAAGTGGAAATAACAAATGTTTGTTGATATTTTGATTATTAGGTGTGCTTCTAATATTTGCCAAAAGAATCCACTTGTGAAATATGCATATAATATGAGATTTACCCTGTCATTAAGATACATATAAATTAAAGCTAAATCTTGTTGATACAGCATTCTCATTGTACTTTGTAATACATCTTTTCTATCTATCTAGTTATTCAGTAGCTATACATTAAGGGCTTCCATTAGATAAAGTATTATATTAGGTAATAAGGTCAGGCTGGGGATAGTAAGCTCTGTCCTCTAAGAACTTAATACAGCCAAGAGATGTGTGAGATAAAGAATATTTTCATCATTTACAAAAGTATTTCTTCTGATGCATATTGACCTGTATATATGCTCCTTAAAATTATAATAATTTTCATACTTCTGCAGTTTTTTCATAGGTCAATGCAAGGTCTTTAGTATATTTCACATGTACAAAATGGTATTTAAACAAGGTGAAGTGCCTTTATTGAAGTAAAGAAGTTTTTTAGTTTCTATTGCTGAGCAATGCATGCAGTTTCCTAAGTATCTTGCCTACCAAAGAAAAGAACATGCATTGCAGTAAGTCTTTTCTTCTACTGTGTAAGGCCCCTGGATTAATCTGGGTGTATTTGTTCATCCATATTCATTGGGAAGATTTTTGGCTTCTCTTCCATTATGGAGTACCTTTCTAACCTACTGCTCTGTGGTCAGCTTCTTTGAATGGTATCTGGTTGCTTGTGAAACAGATTGGGCTGGTGTAAGGACCAAGGCACACACTGACTAACAGTGAAAGAATATATTCCTCTCTTAAACTTCTTTAAGTCCTGATGATTATTTGATGAAGAGATAGGCCTAGATGGTTCTTTCTCCTACCATTCTTTTCTTGAGTCTTTAGCTACTACGTAAACTAAGTTTTCTGCTATCAGTCTTTCTTCCTCGTGGATAGGTACAATGAAGGGAATGAGAGAACTTATTTTGTAACTGTAGTTTATGACAAAAGCTCCCACTCTGGTAGCCTAAAAGACAGGTTTTGCCACCTGTCCCAACACACTGAAGAGCTAAGAAGTAGTGAAAACCAGGGGAAGGAGATTTAATCAGTGTGCATTGGGAAGAGAAACAAAGGGGTCCAAGGACCCAAAGCCCATCTTTTGGGTATAGGCCTGAGCTTAAAGTTTAAACAGAGAAAGAATTGGGGCAAGGAGGACAAGTGGTATGCATAGTCAAACAAGTCCTGTAGTCCCTGGGTCATTATCTCAGTTCTAGTTCTACAAGGTGATATGAAGAAGTCCATATAGCTGGAGGGGACAAGCTGGTTCTTAGGAGATGATTATTCATGCTCCAGGGTATGATCTCACTACCACAGATAATTCCTCTCATCTGGGGTCATCTCTCCTGCTAGACTCTGCTGTTCTTGTAATCCAGGGTTTAGAAAGATGACTGGAAAGAGCTTTTACTTTTTTGTGGGCCTGGAGCAGGACATTGTGAAAAGCTGACAGTAAGTTAATCTTATCTTTGTGCCTTTTGCCTAGAAAGGGAATGAGATAAGTTAGGTATCACTGAATAGTAGATAAATTTTTCCTTGAGTGATTGACCCTGATACTGCAGAGGTAAGCAGGTGACCCAAAGTAAAAGACAGATTCAGAATGCAGAAGGAAAGGCTGGGTTTCCTCTTGCCTTCAATTACCTTGTGGGTTTCAAGTTGAGAATCCCGTACATTTTTAGGAAAGACAATGTCTAATTCCCTGTTATAATTCCATTTTTATCAGTAACCTCCTGGCCATTCCTGTTCTAGTTCACCCTGAGAACAGACCTAAAACCTCTTTATAAGGTATGGCAGGTATAGTTGTTCCCTTTCCAGGAGCTATCAATTGGCCTCACTTTTTAAAGAAAGTAGCTGGCTACATTTTATTATTTTCAGTGTAAACATGACTTGTTTAAAACAACAGCAATCTTTAGGGGAAAAATAGCCATATTTATTTGTTCATATTACATATGTTCCTGCCATTATTTATAATGAAATAAAACATTGCCCAGCATGCCACTTTTCATTTCACAATTCCATAATCTCTCCCTTTTAAATTGACATCTGTTCTTCTTTATTAAACCTGCTGTGATCTCAAGCCTTGAAGATTTGATGTCTTGTACACCCCTGAGGGAATATCCTTTCTGACAGCTCAAAGAGCTGACATAAATCTCACATAGGCTTGGACTATGTAACTGGATAGCTAAATGGTATGTATAGGTCTTTTGTTTGAGAGACACTGTTACAGGTGTGCACATTCAATAACTTTCGGTATACAACTTAGTTCTGAATATCTGTTCAGAAGAGGAAATGCCATCTGAATGACATTATTTCCTCATGCCAGTGTGAAAGCAGCAGGATGAGAACATACCATTCCAACTTGTCTTTGTGAAAGAAACTGCATCAGATGCTGTCCCTAATTTAAGCACATACATATTATCTCATGGTCTTTATTGATCTCTGGTGGCTGTTGCCTGCTCTTCAGATCTTTGAACATCAAACAGATAATAGGCTGTAAAACTAAATGTCATTGTTTGATGAAGTGTCCCAATCTGTTAAATCAGGAAATGGTTAGAGTAAATGATTTTGCTAGTAAGGAAACACCTGCCTCCTACAAATATAACCTATGGCTTGTTTTCCCAAAACGGCACTGGGGAGTAAAGAAGGATGGTGCTGTTTACCTAAAGAAGAACATGAGACAGATGCTAAACATGCACAGTTAAAAGTGTGCCTGAGTTGAGTTAGCCTCCCCAAATCAATCTGATGTATCGTGTAACAATCAAAATATGAATTCTGATGAACTTTATTCCAGTGTTTAGCATTCATATTTACTTTGTATCATTATGTTTAAAATAATTTTTTAAATTTCACAACTGCTTTATATGTAATGTATTAGATTGTTTTTTCCAACTGCTTCTGACATGATAGTCTATAAAAGGATATGTACCTTCCCTGAAATTAAAAAAAATGAAATTGTGCTGTCCTCGTATTTAGCAAAGTCATATAACCAGCACCCATATTTTTAACACTGAGAAGCAGAGATTAGAGCAGTTAAGAGATACAGTGCTGTTGTCCAGCTGGTTGATTTTGGGGCCAGGCTCAGTTTTGTACTCTTTGCTATGTCATGATATCTGCTGCAGTATACGACTTTCCTGATAGATGGAGAGCATAGTCTCTCTCACTTTTACAAGTACTCCTGTTTTGATTACTTAAAGTTGGGGACTGTAAGGGAGTAAAATCATATTTATCAATTGTTCAATAAATGTGCTTATGGCTACTGAAGTTAATTACTTATAGTAAATTCTCATGTATGAGAGTAAGCTAAATGTCTTAACTATCTAGTTTATGTTCTCATCGTTTTACCATGTGTATATATTCATATGTGCTATTCACTATATTTTGGGGAAAGATGAGATGCATATCATATTGCCTTATTCCATACGATCATTAGACAACATAGCAAGACTCTTTGTCAAATATAAATAGAATATAAATGAAAAATACAAATAAAAAGTAGATGTTAAACAATAACATATTTTATGTTGTTCCTTAATTTTCTTCCATGTACAATGATTTACATAATATTTCAACAAAAATATTAAAATAAAGTCTTTGAGATCAGTATGCATTGATACCTTGCATAGTACTTAATTATCTTACTTTCACATATCTGAAATATAAATCAAAATAAAGCTATAATTCAAAAAGGATCCCAAACATTCAATTAAAAATGTTGTGTTAAGTGGAAACAAACCCAGAACATCCTTTATTGACTATTCTATTCTGGTCCAGCTATGTTGAGCACTGGGAATAATACAATAAATGAGAAAGAGCTTCTAGCCTAAGACTGTGTCAGTGTATATTTGTTTCACCCAGAGAGAAGCCCTTATTCCCCTCCCACGTAGTTCACTGTCCCTTCAGAAATGGTTCTGAATTTGATCAAGATGCTGATGTTACAAACTAACAATAACTAAGAAGCATAAACTGAAGACCCGACACAGGTTAAGATTGAACAGCAAATGATGAAGAGGACTTACAAGAACTCAGAATACTTAGCAGTTCAGGGGCTGTTTTCTGAAAGGGCAGTCTTGTGCATTGTGCACATGGTAATTGTCGGTAATCAAGAAAATATTTTTATGTGGTGTTTAATCTGACACAGTAATAGTAATTTTTTACATTTATTGAGAGTTTTATTATGTTCTTAGTATTCCTAAGAATACCCGGAGTAATTTATTCTTATCACAAAGATTTGATACATTTATTGCTGATCCCATTTTTAGAAGGGATTGAGACATAGAATGTTAAATAACTTGAGGAAGAGGAGGAATACAAATGCATGTAGTCTGATTCTAGAACTCCATTTAAAGTCACCATGTAATTCTAGATCAATTTTCCAAAAAAAAATGTACAAAATTTATTTGTATTCCAATTTAACATTCTTGCTGTGTGCCAAGCACTATAGTATATATTAGGAATCCACAAGAAGTAAGACAATAATTTAAATTTGAATCTGGTTAAATTTTGAGAAACAGATTTTTTTCTATGCAAAGTGAGATATATTGAGTGATAAAGATTTTTCAAGGTGAGGTTATTCTTTTCCTTGTAATAAGAAAAATAGTCTTTATGAGAAACTTGAAATCGAACATTTACAGGACTAGAAAGGGAAGGGGGCTTGTGTCTTCTACTTCTGATCGTTCAGTCCCCAAACCATGCATTTCCTCCCTGCTTCTCAGTTTTGTTTTACTTTTCAGTGGTTGTTGTCATAGCAACCAGCAGAGGCCTTTTGATATGAAAAATCGCCACTCTAGTTTCACTGTGCTTAGTTGTAAGGAAACAGTGGATTTTACTGATTTATCTACTTTATAAAAAGAGAAAATCCAAGATAATTATAAAAAGAAAAGGTCAAAGAATGTAGGTTTGTGTTAAAGAGGTCCCCATCCAAACTGATAAGACCAGCTGACAACTTTTGGTCAGTACCAGTACAGGTTTAAAACTTCCTTAACTCTCAGGAGGCTCTGCAACCTCACTTGCCATGTGTGTGGAACTGTTTAACTCCTTCCCCCTTTGTCCAGCTAAGGATTGTGTTACATATTTTTTTGAGATAGGGTCTCACCATGTAGACTTAGCTGGCTGTATTAGTTACTTTTCTGTTGCTGTTGTAGAAACACCATGACCAAGGGAACTTATAGAAGGAAAAGGAGCAGGAGTCCATCATGCCATGGGGAGGCATGGCAGCAGAGGTGGCTGGAGAAAGAGCAGAAGCTAAGCTCTCACGTCTTCAAGCAGGCACAGGACAAACAGAGTGGCTGGAGATCCAGCAAGGCTTAAGAACTCTCTAAGCCTGCCCCGAGTGATGTGCTTCCTCCAGCATGACCTCACCTTTTAAGACCTCCCAAAACAGCACCACTAACTGGGAACAAAATGTCCAAATACTTGGAGCCTGTCTCATTCAAACTATTACACTGACTTAGAACTTGCTGTGTAGACCAGGCTAGGTTTTTGTTTTTTTTTTCAGATCCCGATAATGTCCACATGTATCACATTTGTCAATTTGTGAAGAGAAATTTTCCTTTAGCTCTTGTGATTGGTGCAGCCATCCTACCTACTCAAAGAATGTTCCATTTAAGAAGGCATTCGTCGTGATGAGGTTTTTCATTCATAACTTGATAAATGGATGTACAGGTCATGCTCAGCAATGGAAGAGAAGACTTTCATCATAACGGTTCTGTGTTTGGAGAATTTTATTTATTTTATTTTCTTGAATTTTGTGAAATTCTCTTCCTTTGGCAAAACTACAATTTTTTAAAAGATGAAAGTGAGGCAGACACAGTGGTACACACCTTTAATACCCACAAACAGGAGGCAGAGGCAGGCAGATCTCTATGAGATCAAGGCCTCCAGCCTTATCTACATGAGGCCAACTGGGGCTACAAGGAGATCCTGTTTCAAAAAGCCAAATAAATAAAACACAAAAATGAAAATCAAAGTTATTGATACCTTTTTGAGTTTGGTATATGTCAATTCATTTAAGAGACTCTACATGTAGTCAGATGTAAATATTTATTCACTTTGGATCAAAAATTCATATGGAAAGAGCATTAAAATTATTCTATGTTAAATGATCACAGTTAAGAAAGTTTCTGCCTTGAAATATCTAAATCTGATTTTATGTTTAAAGTGAACTTGACACTGCCGTTTCTTTCTGTTCTTGAGTATCGCTATCTTCCTGTAAATTTCACATGGTCTTGTCATAGGTTCATGTACTGCAAAGCGAGCTTGATAAAGAAAAAGAAGATGCTCAAAAGAAAATTCACAAATTTGAGGAAGCTTTGAAGTGAGTAAAAAATGGTAATTTATCTATTTTTAAAATTACTTATACTAAATTGTCAGCCTAATTGATAACCAGAATGAAAGATCATGTTTCACAATGGGCTTGCTGTGCATTAGTTTGCATTGGTTTCTCACCATGAATCTTTGTTTTCAAAACGTATTACTAGTTGATTTTTTTTAACAGAAAACCAGTTCAGTTGTTTTTAAGTGCTAGAAATGTAAGAAAGTACAATTTAGTGGTTTCAGATGCTTTCTTTCTCTTAAGTGGAAACACATTTTTTTTAAATAAAAAATGAGATTTAGCTCTTAGGACCTTTAGAAATTGCTCTGTATTTTTTCTGGAGAAATTAAGGTAAATAAGTGTTTTAGTTGTTGTATTTGTAAATAGGTAACTATCTAAGCCTATTAGGAATGTTTTTCTCTCCTGAAATAATATGTAAAGGTATATTATAATAGTAGAACTTGTCTTTTCTGTTCATTTACTTAGGGTGAGTAGATTTTCTTTTTATAAATATTCTCTGTGTGTTCATCTCTTTTTGTTTATTTTTTATTGAACTTTTGAGTATTTCATACACAGCATCATAATCTTTTGACCTTCTCCCCCATTACTACCCACCCTTAGCTGCTCCCCCCCAGATTTCAAATATTCTGTCATTTGTGTTAAGGCCTACCAACTCAAGTTAGTGTCCCCTGACCTTCTTCAGTGCATGTTCATCCACTGGGGTCTAGTCAGCCTATCTAGAGTCTCTCAAGATCAACTCTTCCTCACCCAGCAGTAATCAGCTGCCAGTAGTTCTCTGGCTGAGACTAGGGCCTTGCTGCCCCTTTACACAGCTCTATGCTAGGTTTTTGTCTGATTGAGTTCACATGGGTCTTGTACATGCTGACACTATTGCTGTAGGTTTATATGAGCACAGTCCCAGGAGCCTATAAGACTCTGTTTCCATGTGGTCATGCACCTTGTTCCCTGACTCTTGCAGTCTTTTCTGCCCCCTCTTCCACAGTGATCTCTGAGCTCTGGGTTCATTGCCCTCTGTTGCATGAGGAAGCTTTGTGGATGCCAGTGGAGAGATACATTTGTATTTTTTCTACCCCTTGTTCCACTATGTTCCTTGACTCTTAGATGTAGAGTCTTCCATTTTAGATGTGTCTCTTAGGGTTGAGCATTTCACAGACACTTAATCTCTGTGTGAACAGTTGTGGAACTCTGTAATAGCCTCTGTCTGTTGCAAAGGAAAATTCTTTGATGAGTGGTGATTGTCATACCTGTCTGTGAATATAAGGATCCATATATAGCACATGGTAAGAAATTATGTTTGTCTAGGGATGTCACAGCCTTGGGGTTTTCTCTAAGATCTATGGCCTCTTCAGCCATGTGTATTTGGCTATGTTTGCAGTATTCCCACATGAGTTCCCTTTCATCTAATGGACTTTAGGTCCAATTGGATAGCTGTTGATTAACTCCCAAGATAAAAGTGCTACTACTGGCACAATATAGTTTGCTGTGCTGGCCATTGTTGTGGTTATTAGGCCTTAAAGCTGAGGTTGGACCATCAATTGATGCTCTACCTTAGCATTTTGTGTGGTGTCCTCTAAACCTATGAGAACTAGCCTTCAGGGAAGTGGTTTCCAGGTCAGTTACAGCTCCATTGTTCTAATTCCTATGTCTGAATTGTGTCCTGTCTTTAGCAATAGGGTCTTACCTTCAAGCTCAGGGAGGCAATCAAGGGCTGTGGCAATAGCCTGTCTAATTTTTGGAATCTCTTGGACTACCCTGGCCAACAACTTGAAGGGAGGTTTCTCCTGTCTGATACTGTTTCTTGTTATATAGCCTTCAGCTATACACATGGACTCATATAGTGATATTGTATGTATAATTTTTCAGAAGACTTTTGAAGTAATACCTTTCCCTCTATTTTTTTTAACAACAGCTGAGCATTATTTATCTTTTCCCTCTCTCCCTGTCTCCTTTCTCCTCAGTTAAAGTATCCTCATTTTCCCCATTTCACCCTTGATAACACCAGTCTTCTGTGGTCTTCCTTCTCTTGAGCTCCTTCTCCTTTACTCCCATTGTTCCTTGTATAATCTTCCCTCTCCCCCTTCCATTTAAATTACTATTTTACCCACTCTCTGCTTGGTAATATCTGTCTCCTACTGTTCTTCCCTCTCAGGCTCCTTCTTTCCCTTTACCTCCCTGGTTCCTTTCTATTTTCTTCGCTCCTGCAGTTACATCAGGTTATGTACTCACATATAAGAATTTGGTGCTAGGAGATGGTGTTAAAGATTTTTTTTAATTTATTTATTTTTGTGTGTATGAGTGTATGCCTGCATATATGTAGCTGCACCTGTGTTGTACAATGCCCCCAGAGGTTGGAAGAGGGTGTTGGATCCTACTGGAATTGGAGTTATAGGCAGTTGTTAGCCACCATATGGGTACTGGGATATGAACCTGGGTTTTCTGCAAGAATAGCCAGTTCTCTTAACCACTGAACCATCTGTCCTGCCCCCTTGAGACTTTTTTTTTTTACCATGAAATCTTTAGCTTGAAAACACTGATTTATTCAGTAAATATTTGGTTCTCACCTTGTGTCAAGCAATATGTAGTACGTTCCCAGAGGACCATGCAGCCTTTTTGGTAAGTTAAGAAGTTTTACAATTCCAATGAGAACTTTAATTGGTGGAATGTCAACATGGCTTGTAACCCAAGGAAATCCTTTAAGAAGAAGAGGAGCTTCCTTGAGACCACTGTAGCTAATTTCTGGGGTTTTTCTTTGTTTATTTTTGTTTAATTTGTTCACTTTTGCTTTCCTAGGCCTCCAAACAGGAGTAATTTACAAAATACCCAAAAGGTCACCCAGCATCAAACATACTTTGTATCATATTGTCCCTGCAGACCTATTCCTTATGCCTTGAATTGCTTGTTATTAAAATATGTTAGCTACTTCCTAAATAGAACATCTTAAAATAATTTATATTCTACGACATCAGAAGATTTTTTATCTACACAAGAACTTGTTGCATATTTGTTTACATCAACTTTGAACTAGGTAAGATAAAAGGAGAGTGATAATATTCATTAAACATTATGTCTTCAACTTGAATCATGTCAATATTAACAGCCGTTAAGGGCTTTAAACATCTATACCAAAGTAGTAAGTTTCATTTGGAGTTAAAGGAACTATTTAAAATTTTGAGTAAAACTCCCCTATAGATTGATTCCTCTCATTCCCTAGGCAGATGGTGTCTTCATTTTGACCACGTTGCTGGGGGTATATAGCACCCAGTACAGTAGGAATGATCAAGATGGAAAATAACAGGCAGTTATATTGAAGTCTGAGCTTCAAAATAAATAGCATAAGTTAAGTTTTTCCCAAATGGAAAATTTCCAGGGAGTGATTGCAACTGCTGTTGAATCTAACGATTGTGGTGTTTCATTGGCCTAAACATAATTCCATTTTGCAGCCCTATAATGTAAATGCTTGCCTTGGCATTTAGCAAGATTTTTCTTTAATAAATATCCACAAACCTGAAAAATCTCATATTTAATCTGTGGTGTTATTCTTTCATATCATTATTGTTTCTTCCATTCATTTAATAAGGGTTTATTTATTCTGTACAGTTAAATGTATAGCAGAGGATGTCAGAGAAAGCAGGATTATGCACATGTTCTAGTTTGTTTCTCCATTGCTGTGACAAAATACTCTGACCACTACCAACTTAGGGAGGAAAGGGTTTATTCAGCTTACATTTCCTGGGTCACAGTTCATCAGGAAGCCCAAAGTTAGGAACTCAAGGCAGGAACCTGGAGGTAGGAGCTGGAGCACAGGCCATGGAGGAATGCTACTTACTGGCTTGCTCCCTTGGCCCATGCTCAACCTACTTTCTTACAGAACATAGGCCCACCTGCCCAGGGGTGGCACCACCCACAGTGGCCTGGGCCCTCCCACATCACTCAGTAATCAAGAAGATGCTTCACAGACATGACCACAGGCCAGTCCAATGGAGGCAATTCCCCAATTGAGGCTCCCTCAACCCAGATGTGTCAAGTTGACACTAAAGCTACCCAGCCCAATTGACCCCTTGTCAGCTTGACACATAAGCACATCACTATTAAACTATATCCTTTCCATTTCTTGTCCCCAAGATGTGGTGTTACTATCACAAAATGAAACAGTATAACCTTGGGGCTGGAGAGATGGCTCAGTGGTTAAGAGAACTGACTGCTCTTGCAGAGGACCCAGGTTCAATTCCCAGCACCCACATGGTGGCTAAAAACCATCCTCAACTCCAGTTCCAGGGGAATCTGAAGCCCTCTTCTGGCCTCTGCGGCATTGCATGACATGGGCGCACTCACATACATGCAGGCAATACACTCATACACATAAAATAAAAATAATAAAATATTGAAAAAAAACATTAAAACCTTAAAAGCCCCACAGTCATTAAAAAATCCAAACACTTAAAAGTCCATAGTCTCTTTTCAAAGTCTCTTAACTGTGGGCTTCTGTAAAATCCAAAACAAGTACTGTCTTATTTCAAAGGGAAGAATAGGGCACACCTAAGCAAAACCAAAGTCCAGCAAAGTAGCTCAAGGCTGGACATCTGGGATTCACTCATGATCTTCTGGCCTCCAAAGGGTTCTGGCAGCTCAACTTCTCTGATTCTGCCATATACAGCACACACAGCTTGTCTTGCAGACCCAGGCCAGCTCCATTTCACACCTACTGCTGTCCTTGGTGGTCATCCCACGGTCCTGGCATCTCCAAAAAGCTGGGGCCTCCACTGAAACTGAGGCTATGCTTTCACCAAAGGCCCCTTCTTGCCTCTTGGGGTGCAAAGCCTCAGATTCTCTCCATGATCCCTTTCAATTCTGGGGTTGTCACTGCAACTGAAGCTACACTTTCACCTATGGCCTTTCGTGGCCTCTCAGAGTGCCAAGCCTCAGCTGCTCTCTGTGACCCCTTCACACTTTCAACACCAGAACCATGCAGGAGACTCTTACAC